AACGAGTTTTTTTTTTATAGGCAGCCAAAAACAGACGTTCCGTCAAAGAAGTAAAAAAAATTAAGTGGTCACTATTTTCTTTTTTTTTTTGTTTTTACATTTTGGTAAGAATGGTGAGTCATCAGTGACCGAATTTCCTGTAACGTCCCTGAAAAATTTGTTTAAAGCAGACTTGAAATGGGAAATTGGTAAGACTTTTTTAAACTTTCATCTAGTTGTCCTTTTCTATTTACTGGCTTATATCTAACCTCCTTGTTTTCATAAATATTTGAAGAGAAACAACTTGATTAAGAAAAAAAACACAAAACAGATCTAATACAGATCATACCTGTGACTGGTCCCGTTGTTAACATTGGCGGTCTGACAACGGTAAAGTCGATGTCTTCACATCCCTGAAGAAACTCTTCCATCTGTGCCATGTTTGTCAGAACCCGTCCCAGGAAAAACGGATTGATAATCCAGCGGATTAGGAAAGGTGCCGGATCTAATGGTGTATCTGTTTAAAGGAAGATAAAAGCTATTGGGCCTAAGAAAAAATGGTGTTTCCCGTTTTCAGACCAACCTTTCAAAAACTCCCGACCATAGATTTTTCCTGCTGCAAGTTTTACTTTGGTAAACTCTAATGTATAAGTTGGATCACTAGAGACCGCAAAGTTTTAAAAACATGGCCTAGGGAAAAAAGCTTAACCTAAACTGCAGACACCTATTTTTCAGGACTAAAACAGGAAACACAACATTTTCCCTAGCACTATTCTGACATAGGACCTATGATCTAAATTTCCTTAAAAAGTAAAACAGTAAGGCAAGGGATGAAGATGACAGACGGCCATCGAAACGTCGGCTCGTAAAACTAAATAGTTGTGATCAAAGAACTTTGCTATTCATTCGTTTACCAACCTGATGACATTATTTACGGAGTACGGCATTGTGTTCTGACGCCATGTTCCGAATATTTAAAGAGGGTGGGTCAAAGTTTGAGAAGGTTGAAACAATTACGGCTGTATGAATATTTTACTTTGCTACAGCCAAATACTTAAAACGCATTGCCATCTACTCTAGTAATAGTATTGACATATTAAATTGAATACATTATATGGTTTAAGCAAAATAAAGTACTCAAATGTTACAAAATGTTTTAAACTTTTAAATATTTTTCACTAGGTTATGAATGGGGTTAATATCAATGGATCTATACACAAGTTTGCTCTTCAGAGATTATATGAATATGCATATTATAACGGTTTTTATACAATGGGACGAGGAACTGGTATTTACATAACTGGAGTTATGTTGTAATTGATGTCAAAAATGATTTTGAATATTTAAACCTGACTTACCTGTGGTGTACCAGGATGTTATACACACCAGACGTTTGACGTTGTTATTCCTCATAGCAGTGACAATGACGCCCATGGAGTCTGTGTAAAGCGTGACGGATCCAAACCAGCTATAACCTACAAAATAGAGAGATTTCGGGCTGCTTTGTACGATATACAGTATGGCCTTTTTTTTGCAAATAAACAAAAATACAAGCGCGTGTGGACGTCATTCATATAATCTAATCAGCATGAACTAATTTGGAAATTAGTAATTATGCCAAATTCCTAAGACTGACGCGGGAAAACTGAATTAAGCACACTCACAAACACACACACAGGCACAAACAGACACGCATACACACAGGCACACACACGAATGCACAAACACACAGGCACAAACACACACACAGGCACACACACGGACACACAAACGGGCACATACACACAGGCACAAATACACACACAGGCACAGACATACACACAGGAAGAAACACACACAGACAAAAGCACATACACACACACACAAACAGGCACAAGCATACAGACAGGCACACACACAGGCAAACACACACACACACACACACAGAAACAAACAAACAGGCACAATCATACACACAGGCACAAACACACAAAGGCACAAATACACACACACACAGCTCAGATCTTCATGGTCAGGTTTTCGAACATTAAATCCTCAAACACTCTGTTCAATTTTAACGTACAATGCAGATAAATAATGGAACCTTATGTTACATACTTCCCAGTCAGGAAATGACGGCATCTTTCCCATGCAGATGTGGCTCTACAGTATCAGCAGAGGAAAGGTCTATCTTCTCAATCTGTGAAAATATTCAGAAACAAATGGCCGCAAACATTGTTAACTACAAACTGCATTGTAGTTAAAGTCCAGGGTTGTAATAAACACTTGTTAAATTCAGTTCAACAAGTAAATGTTGTGTCTATCTGCTTATCATATTTATATATCTGTATATGTACACCCATATATTATGTATGTATGGGCCAGGTGGAATAATTACCCTTTACAAGTATATATGGTATATAACAAAATCCGTTTTAAAAAATTGTTTAAATCAAAACTGTCTAAACCACCTTTTGTTCTGACATCCGTAAAAAAACAGATTCACTAAGAAGCCAACCTTGAGGTCCTTATTTGATACCAGTCCCGCCATCTTGTCAGGGTCTCTCACCAGGGCAGTGACGTCATGACCTTGGGCAAGTGCTTGTTTTACAAGCTCCACTCCTATAAATATGGGACACAAGGCGGGATATATTGAGGCCTAGATTGTAATAGATAAATAGATAAGGATTATTTTTTTAATATGATACATCTACAGCAATTTCTGACCGGAAAATTATGAATCACAAGTTTATGTTATTTACGTTTTAGCTTTAATGTAACAATTTAAATTCACTGAAACTGACAGAAATTTCTGAAGAAAATCCAAAGGATATTCACCCTTACCTGTAGAGCCAGTGGCCCCAAACACTGCCAGTTTCATAGTCCAGGAAAGTCAGGCTAACACTGTAGGGAGTAGTCACTCAGTCTGGAATGTCCTTGACATTTTGCCTTAGGCTAATAGTTTAAATTCTTACTAGCACTGTTAATGGTGGCATTCAATGTACCAAATGGTTAAGTGGAAACATACAAACGAGCTGTGTTAACTGTTAATAGTTGTCACCGTGGACATGTGAAACAGCAAAGATCTAATACAACACAGCAAAGATTGTAAACAAGACCTTGTTTACCATGCTCATATGTACGAACAAAGCATGACCTTAAAACTTATACAAGTGGTGGTGGATAGCGACAAGAATCACTGGTAAAACATACACGACAAGCTAAGGAACTACAAAGAAGCGGAAATCAATGACATGCAAAATATTTGCTAGGACAAAGGATTTAAACAGTGTATGTGACAACGCCGCCCCCCTCCCACATGTGAACAAATTCTCACCTATTCACTCCCAACTGTTGCAGGCCAGGCGTCTGTAGGTGGTGCTTTTGACGTCCAATGACCCGTAACCACGACCTCTTAGTGTATATTTACCTTTCGCTATAAGGTCATGGGTTACGTATGTGGTTTGTGCTGTATTTTGTAAGTGGCTATATGTAATTGTATTTGGTAGGTAGGTGTTGGTGGGGACGACTGAGGCCAAGGTCGAGTATGTGCATTATACCAGCTTTCTACCGGACTGAAGCGGTACGCATTGGTTTGATATCCTAGACAAGCTTACTATTGTCTTGGGTGGGAAAAGGTATTGGGACAGGGGTTATTTGGTGTAGTATTGGGCTCTCTACCGTTTTGTAACTACAAGCACTGGTCTTTTTATAGGGGTTTCTGACCACTGTTGCACGGGATCCCCTAGATGTTTCTTTGTGTTTCTTGTAGGTAGATTGGACTCCGTTAATTTTGGAGAGGCCGACCTGAAGCATTTCAGTTGAAATTACCAGTATTCCTTAGTGGTGGCAATTTCATACTTGTGACAATTGTGCACGTCAGTTAAAGGCGAACATCACTGTGCATACATTATGTAAATGCCGAGGTAATTTCGTTTTCTCTACAGCACGTAGGGGTGAAAGGTAATCTTACTGTCGCCTGAAAAGACATCCCCTATCTGTAATTGCGAATCAATTGTCTTGTATGTTTGCCTACATATTAGATGGCTACCCCGTCCGCCTTATTCAGTGTTGGGTGTTGGCAAGACGTGAGATTAGTTCACTTATTGGCTATTGGTTATTTCTTTAGTCTCAACTCTCACCTATCCCTTTACGTCATTGAGGGTCGTCGGGGCACCATGACTTGGTCCACAATCCTCATCTATTGCCCACTGTCCTCCAACGTTCTCATGGCTTTAGCCAAGCTAAATCAAGTCTACTCTTTACTATTGTCTTCCCATATCTTTCTCTACCTACCCCTTTCGACTTCCTAGCACTGCCCCTTGTTTTTGCAAGTCCTGACGATCTTGGAACATGACCAAGCCATCTCAGCTTGTGTTTCATTACGGTGGTCAGTAGGTTGCCATGTGGTCCAACAGCTTGTACTATCTTATTGAAGTCCAGACCTCTTCGTTGGTGACACGTGCTAGGTATGTTATGCCAATGATTTTTCTGTACCATCGTGTGTCTTTTGAGAGAATTCTTTTCTTTAGATGCGTGGTTAGTGCTCAGGTTTTTACATCCTTATAGATAAATTGACAAAGTTAAGGAGCGCAGTTAAGGTTGATTTTTGAGCATAGACATGCGTTCTTATCTTTCCATATGATGTTTCTTGTATCTATTGCGGCTGCTGTCTGTGCTGTTCTAAGATTTCTAGATGAGATCCTCTTTTGGATATCGATGTAGTTAAAATCAGTTGAACTTTGAGGATTTTTTTCTGTCAGAGTCTTACCCGATTCACCCACTGTGATGATAGTGTACAGACCATAGGCGTTGTTTGTAAATTTTCTCATTATTTTGGTCTCTTTACCACTGATTTCTATACCATCTTCTGTGGATGCAATGCCGCCATAGCCTCTTTAGGATGTCAATCACTGAAAAGGAGACAGATATTTGATTGGTTTCTTGCTGTGTAGGAACTGAAAACACAACCTGTCTTTTGTAAGCCTAATGCGCGGCTGTGAACAGTAAACATACCACGTCATGCCCGTGCAACGTTGCTATATACCTGCTTCATATTGGTCAACTCCGGAAGGGAAATATGATGCTTCTCCAGATCCTTCCCTATATGGTTCTTATTTTTTTCATTGTGATGAAGAACTAAAAACACACAACAGGCAAATAATAGTTCGAAAATTTTCTAATATTTTATTCACCAAGTAAAATAAAAAAAAAACTTAATTGAAAGTAATCAATTACATTGACGTGGATCTGAAAAGTATGTATCATCATTGATACTAAAGAATAGGTTTGCCTTAACCCTTGTTCTGTTCGCATTCTTACACAGTAATTTCAAAAAAAATTCATGTCTTAATTAGGACATAGACCCCCATTTTTTGGCCCTGTGGTGGCATAGTTACTTCCACATTCGTTGCGCTTCGCTGCGTTGTGTGGCGTTGCATGAGAAAAACCAAATAAAGGGGGGCTATATATGTGGTACTGTACGTGCAAAACAACAGTTGTTGGACTCAGAAGGACAAGAATATAAATGTAACTGTTTGCCTTTATTTGTAGTTTGAGAAGATGTCAGAGCTCAGGATTAAATGGTGCATGGGGCAAAATGAAAACACAAAAGGCAGCATTGCCAGTAACAATTACTGGAAGTTTCTCCAAGATGGAATTTAAGTTAACTTATTTTCTTAAAGAAGAAATGAATGGTATAATGCACTTGGCACGGTAGACTTTTCCATGTTCATGACTTTATGTGTTCTAAGAACCTGATATTGCCATGGTAAGTGGCAAAGTGGTGTACAGTAATAGTCCTCCAAATATTCCAAAGAATGTTCTCTTCCCTCGAGGTCCGTTGGCCAATCATCTGGTTGGCTGCGGTCCACTGTGCATCCGCCCTCCAGTCACCGGGGACCACGTTTCCATCCTCATCCTCAGCGTCCACATGTAAGTTCCGTAGTCCGGGTCGTCTCATTCACATCCAATTGTGTAGGGTGACCCACACATTGCGAATCACCTTGTCAGGCTACGCCTGCAGGGTGGTGAGTAGGCACCGCCTCCGGTGAGCCAATATCCCAAAAGCGTTCTCCACAACACAACACGAAGGCCGATAGTTCATCTCCATCTCTCTTTTGGTAAGGGCACGCCCACTGTATGGTATTATGAGCCCGTTTCGCAGGGAAATGCGTCGTCGCCCACCAAGAAGTACGGAAAGGGCCCTGTCTTCGACTGGAAGTAGATCTTTGTTGTCCTCCAGTGCCCCCCTGAGGCTGGACTCGTTGAACACGCCTGCGTCTGAGCAGGAGCTGTTGGCTCCCATCTTGCACCACAAGAAAGAATAGTTAGCATCCACGACGGCACCATAAAAAGACATTGTAATTTTAATAGACCCATGCACTTTTCTTGGGCTTCTTGATGGGCTTCTTATCGTCAATCGCTCCACAACAGTCGTTAAAGTTCCATCGCTGTCCAAACTCGTGAGCGACTTCTTTCCAGTCGTCCTGTGTGGAGAGCATGGTGAAAGTATCCTCCTTATATGCTTCCTGGATGAGCTGCTCACCTCCGGCACAAACTGGCATATGTTGTTGTGTGCCGCCCGGGATTCGTATTTAGGGACATGTAGCTGTTTTCTTTCACCAAGAACTGAAGGGTGATTGCTAGCTAGCTTTTGGCAGGCTCCATAGGACGGCGACTTCTGACACATAGAATTCGCCGCAAAACACTCAGGCAATTTTTGATCTAAATTATGGATTAATTTTGATCTCTCTCTCTCTC